AAAATGAAACTGGAGAGAAATCGATTTCAAAGCAGCGAGAGTTTTCTTAGAGACACTATTTACAGATTTATATTCTACGCAAGCAATGTTGCATGTAAGCTCCTTGATATGAGTAAACACAAGACATCAACACCTAGAGCTGTACTTGTTGATGATGAATTAAGACACTAATCACAATGTGCCAAACTCGTGATGCAAAAAGCTCAGGCAAAAAAAAACTAAGCTGTAAAATAAAACTTTGGAGACGTCTACACCAACAACAGTCATATAAACTCTCTTGTAACAAAAAAACATAAAATATAGACTTTTAAGCACAAAACCTTATTTAGACAATGAAAGTAAAACCCAACCAACAGCAAGCATAGCTTTTGTAGGCAGATACATACATGGTATGATGAAAAAAAATCACATAAGCAGGTGACAATCAGCAATGAGTAAATAAACTTTGTATCTATTCTGACAAGACTGTCCTGCACAAATGTTCAATGACTTAACAGGAATTCAACATTAAAAAGAGAAAATCTGAGCTTGTGAAAATTACACTATATACAGTCGAACCCATTTATAAAAGACACTAATACAAGAGACAAATGGTTATAAGAGACACCAGAAAGCCTACAGTAAAATAGGGGGGATAGGAAAATCCATACAAGGTCCCCTGCTTATAAGAGACATTCCATATACAAGACAAAAATTGCTGCCCGGAGCATGCCTCTTATAAAGAGGTTTAACTGTATAAAAATGCTCCAGCAGCTTTCTTCCAAACTGACTGAAAGTTCCTAAAAAAATTTTTACTCCATTTTTTTTACATTTCATACAACAACAAAAAAAAATTGGCAGATCCCATGAACCGTGGGAATCGATGATATGCGAAGCACAAATAAGTATGCGTGATACGTCACTTTAAAATCTGCACAACGTTATGAGGCGGATGTAATTTGAGCCGCGCATCACTTCCATGTCATGATTATCATATTTGCACCTGGCATTTGTCTTCATCGTCCATTTATGTCATGCAATATCAAATTTCGTATATATAAAGCTTGTTGAACTATCGCGAGCACCCCATGAACATAGCATGTAGTCGAAGTTTACATGACACGTTTAATATGATTATCATGTCTGGACGAGACATTTACCTTTGTCATCTATACACGTCACGTGATACCGAATTTTGTGTATGTGGAGCTAGCCAAATGGCCGCGAGATGCTATGAGCATAGCAAGTACAGTCGTTGACAGATTTTCCGGACCTGACAGGGATCGCGAAATAGTCCGAAAATTCAAACCGTCCGAAAAAATGGTCAAGCCCTTAAAAATGAAGTTTATTCAGATTAGAAAAGCCTAAAAAGAATCTCCAATAATGCCATGCTCCATGCTGTTTCTGGGGACAAGCAGATTTGGTTCTAATATTTGGGCTACGGTAACGTCGCTGGTAATAGCGTTCGTAATCGCTGCCGTTGTCCATTGAAGGTGGCAAGGTTGGTGGCTCTATGGAACCACGCAAAACAAAACTTGACGCCGGTCTGACAAATGCATCTAATTTATCGCCTGTTTGGTGAAATTTAACAACACGATCTGGGCTTCTTTACCTGTGCCGACATCACACAGAATGCGAGCCTTAAGCATTTTGCCACTACCAAATGCTACCGCCGTGGCCGCGATCGAACCCGCGTGTTCTAGGAGCTCCGTGGTCACGAAGTGCTACTGGTGGTGCTATTGAGCAACAGCGTACAAAACAGCACCGAGCATGTGACGCGCATGATGGCTCAAACCCCTTCAGCACACTAATAACACGACCACATGCGCAATGACAACCAGAAAAAGAAAGGCCCAGTAAATAAAAACAACCTACTGGCGTATTATTGATGACAAGGCTCAGTGAAAAAGAAAAGTTTTGCAGCTTTTCCAGCCAAGAAAGATCAGACATGGCCTCCTAAACTGGAAAATTGTGCGTGCTTCCAATCTTAGAGGCCACACAACTAGCCACTGCAAGCCAAACTCGACTAATCCAACGAAAAATTGATTGATTAATTGATTGATTGATATGTGGGGTTTAACATACCAAAACCACCATATGATCATGCGAGACGCCGCAGTGGAGGGCTTCGGAAATTTCGACCATATGAATTTCTTTAACGTGCACCCAAATCTGAGCACACAGGCAGCCTACTGTATTTTTACCTCCATCGAAAATGCAGCAACCGCAGCCGGAATTCGATCCCGCGACCTGGGGTCAGCAGCTGAGCACCTTAGCCACTAGACCACTGCGGCGGGGCTCCAACGAAAAATCTAACAAGGGGGCTTTCAAAATCGAGCGGCATAGCTCAAAACGGCCGATTAAAAAAATGTCTGAAATTCGTCTGAAAAATTGGTCGGCATAATGCATTAGTGTAATGGGAACCTTGCCAGTGCATTTCTGAAGTCCAACAAGTTCGAACTTTTGGAGTCCGAAAAATCCGTCGGTTACTGTAGTCATGTTTTACATGACACGCATGTCAAGATTATCATGTTTGGACGTGTCATTTACCTTCATCTATTCACGTCACGTGATATAAATTTGGTATTGTAAAGCTAGGGAAACGACCGAGAGTGCGCTATGAACGTAGCATGTAGTGATGTTCTATATGACACTCGTGTGACGATTATCATGTTTAACATGTCATTTACCTTTGGTATTACGTGACATGAACAAACAACAAATTTGGTATATATGTGAAGCTAGTGAAACGACCGGGAGCGCACCATGAGTGTGGCGAGTAGTCACGACTTACATGACATGCATGTCATGATTTCCATATTACAGTCTGTCACTTATTTTCGGCATGCAGTCATGTCATACCATACCAGTTTTGCAATATGTCATGTGAACGAAATTACCGCAAGAGCACGAAGACCATAAAATGTAAATCATGACATTCGTGACATGTCATGATTTTCATGTTATGACTAGTCATTAATGCTCGTCATACAGTCATGTTGTGGCATACCAATTTCGGTATAGATAACATTATCGAAATGGCCAGGAGAGCTAAAAGTAGTAGGCGGCTAGGTAGATAGATAGATAGACAGATACGGTCAAAGCCGCTGCAGTTCGCTAAGAAATGCTTCGCATTTAATACTGAAAAGCAACCTCTACACAATAATACAGCTGTTTTAGAAAACATGATGCCTGTGGCTGTAGAGCTTGCAGTATGTAGGTTGGTTCTGATGCATGAGTTTATAAAGTAACAAATAACCTGGCAATCAATAGTTTTTTCATTAACATAGCCATAACTTCTCGCTCAATACTTGTCCTCAGCAGCAGCTCCAATAATTCTGTGAGAAGACACTGTGCACTGTAAACGTACTATGAGTGAGAACACAAGCATACTTTGAGCAGCAAGCTCGATTCTATTCCAGCTACCCCTACTACTGGATGGAAATCAGTTTTCAGAAAATCTTATTTGGTATACTTCCACTGTAACCAAAGGCACTTCAGAGTTTGTGCTTTGCAGCCAGACTGCGTCAGTGTTCCCAGTGCTTCTTTTTTACCAACACTGATGGAAATTAGCCGAAAGTTTTAATGCCATTGGCATGGAATGCTGACAGCAAAAAGCTTGATGTGGAACACAGGTGATGAAGAATGGAATGATAATGTACCTTTGTGGAACACTTAATATCACGGCTAAACTGCTGCAAAAAGCAAAAATTGCAGTTATAATGCTGACACAATTCATAAAACCAGCTAAAAGATAAGAACCTGGAGAGTAGAACGGTAAACATAATGACTGCATGGTTTGTCGAAGGAAGAAAACACATGCCCCTTAACACCTTTTTTTTACTTTCAGCAGCTTCAATTTACTATTGAAATGTACACAAATGGTCTTTGTTGATGCTGAGGACAAAGTTTTGGGTGTACATTACATGACTGATTTCACTTGCAAATTTTATTGAAGAATGATCAGACTGCATGACATGCATTATCAAGCCTGAACTCGAGTGAACTACTTGTGTGTTGTCAATATCATAAACGTATTCGTGAACATTGTCTAAAAAAATACTGCTAACATTTTTATGCAACTTATTCAGCTAATTTGATTCACATGCAACATTCAAGTAACCACAGCCTCAAGCAAATGACATTTGTGACTACTAGACAGACTATAAGTCCAGGTATGATTAAGATTCTACTGTTAACCGATGCTCTGTGATTCTAGTTTTAGTCTCAAATAATGTTAATTTCTACTAAATTTTGCATCGTCAAATGTTGAAATGTGTTCAATTACTGATTAAAATGCAGGATATTTAAATCCACGAGACACTTCTGGGACTTTTAGGCCTCAGACATGCAAATAAATACTTTGTTGAATTTAGCCCAGTGAAAGATAAAAATGACTCGCAGACAGGTGGGAAAGAGGTGCACCTTAAGGCAACTACTTATGCACAATAAATTATTCAAGATCTACTGCCATTCGAGTATTAACAATTGCCCATACTACATACATGTTTCCATACCATGCATACGATACCAGAGCTCAAAAGCCAGCATCGCCACAACACAATTTGCTGACAGTGCATGAAAACAGATGAAAAGAAAACTCCACAAATGCTTTTTTTTTTGTCAATGGAATGTCCAGCTTGACATAATGCAGGTCAAGGCTACTAATATTCACAGCTTCGACCAGATCATCAATAGCTTCAACACCTATGAAAAAAATAAAAAGCAAAGGGTCCAACAAGTACAAAATAAAGAGTACTCTTTAAATAGGGTGTCATCATAGAGACACAGAACACAGCAAGCTGGTCCAGATCAATGGCTGCCAGGTGCTGCCTACTGGAAGATAGACTTGATTCGGGGTCTGGCAGATGCTCTGAGCCCGACGTGCGGCCTAGTAGCTCGACGGAAGGTTTGGCTCAAGAATGACTGGCTACGCGAGATGCCTTTTGCTGGTGCTGCTAAGGCCTGAAGGCCCAGATCATTGGACAGTGCAAGCTCAGGCGGCATAGGTGGGTGCTTACGTTGTGGGGTAGTCTTGGAACCAGACACCACCGTAGCTCTAACCGGCTGCGGCACTCCACCCCTTTGATATTGGCCTGGTTTGCGGCCACTATTGTCCCGGGCATTCGCATCGGCACCTGCGTTTCACAATATGCAAAACAGCAAGGTAAATCTTTTCTCAAGATGGGTTACTTGACCATTTCTAATCGAAAATATAGGAAGTATCAGTGCCATGATAAATATAAGGGGCTGGCTTATGTTATTAGTGTCTTCAGAAGCATGGGGAGTGCGAAAAGTCCTAATGACACCAGCTGAAAAAAAAAAAAAAAAACTTTCTTTACCATACTTATCACAAAAATATGGGGACCTTTACAAACAATGTGAACACACATGCGTATAGAACCCAGAAAACCTAGTGTAGGGGGAAAAGCTGGATCCAAAACTCTGGAAGCAAATCACCCGAGTAAGAAATCGTTCACAAGATACTGAAACAGCTAGTCCTGCATTTGAGTTACATGCAGTAGGTTTCTTTAGATACGTCTCCTTGGGAACAAGTAAAAGCAACTACCTACTCACACCTCACAAGACGTGCAAAATTTCAAAAACGGGTGGTTGTCTATTTTCCCTCTCTTAACCCTTTTCGCAGAACTCATTTGCATTACTTGTGTCTATGTGCTTCGAGTTGTCGATGAATTCTCCCCCGCGTTAGCAATTGATAGCTTCCTCGTTAGCTTAATTGGTAAAGTGAACGCCCCAAAAATGTGTTGGTACCGAGTTCGATCCCCAGACCAGGATGAATTTTTCGGCATCTAAGAAGCTTTTCTTTGCAAGAAATCCATACGGGTTTCCTTGTGGCTTCATGCTACAAACAGATGGTCGTCTATTTTCTCTCTCTTAATGCTTTTCACCACCTTGCAGGTTTCCGCAGAACTCATTTGCAACACAAGACCTGCAACACAAGACGCTGTGACAGGTAGCTGTCTCATAGTGCCACAATGTCCAGTGTAGTATCTTCAGTCAGTAGGTCTAGGAAAACGCGCTGAAAGGCGATGCTTTGCAGTCAGCGAAGATGCGCTCTGAAGCGAGAGAAGTCTACCACAGCTTGCCGAAACCGTTCATTGGGCTGCACTACAGTTATGAAGAGCTCAGGGATGTGGGAGTTTCAGGAAGCTGGAGATTGCTGGGCTATACAAGCGACCATAAATATGAAAGGACTAAGTGTTCCCAAGTGCCCTGTATTTTAGTGCAATGCAATCTTTTGTTCCAAATCGTCGTTAAAGCCATCTTGAGTAGTAGTCTGTTTTAAACAGCCAAGTGAAATGCTTGTACTGTCTTAGAGGGCCTCTATTTCACCCAGGGGACGAGATGTAGTTGCGGTACAGAAATTGTGCGCGAGTCTAGAAAGAACACGTAGCCATGAAAATTTTTCGAATGGTGCCGTAACAGCAGAGCGACACATTGGGTGATTGAAACGCGGCGATCGCTTTTTTTGCTTTCTTTCGCTACTTTCCACTGTTCTCCTCTTCCACTGCCACTTTGTCCTTTTTCGCCGAGTGCCCCTTCTAATATCGCATAGAAAAACATCATCGCTGACGCGCTGTTTGAAACACCGTCTACTTTACTTCCGGTTGCTGCAATTCTGCCAACTCCGAGCTTGTTGGCCAACTACTGTTGCAGTGCTGACCCGTGCTCCTACAAATCATGCCGGTATGGACGCTGTATTGTGCACACAGAACACACGCACTCCTCTAAAGGATCGCCAACATGATGGACTTGCACGGCGACATGCCATGCCAGAGCACCTGTGCGTGGTATGAGGAGCAGCCACCACAACACGACGAACAACAAGAAGTACGGGGAGCTGCATGCATACCAGCCAAAATTTGTAGTTTTTGTTCGAACAATCACCGCATGACTTGAGCTCCACTCACAAATTCAACCTCCCAATGTCCCACAGGTCCCTAAGAGAAGGAAAAGGATTGTTTCTTAGAATTTGTGGTGTGCCCCCCGCTTTTAGCACTATCACATGTGGCATCATTGATGGTGGCAACATTCTGCACAAGATGCACATTTAGTTGAAAAATTTGAAAACAAATAGGAGGTGGTTTAGGGGCCCTTTAATATTGTGTGCAAATATTTCAAATCTCGAATATTTTTTTTCATAGTGTTTTTATTCAATTCAATTTGCAATGGAATTTTACAATACGAAACTATTTGAACTTCGAGAACAAACACAGTTAAGATCTGACTGACACTGGCCCCTTCAAATTTTCAACATGCTTTAACCCATCACACGCTCCTATTGCGGCAAAGCTACCTTTCAAGCTTTGCTACAGTCGCAAATATATTGACTCCCCAAGGCAAAAACCTGGTTCCTACATGGAGATAATAGATGTGGCAGCTCAATGTCATTTTGGACCTAAAACTTGGACAGGAAGTCCGAAAAAAATTTGAGGTGTTCTTATACATTAATGTCCACATGCCAGATTCACACTCCGAACATGCAGGGAGCACACTCTTGTCAGCCAAATCACTTGAGCTTCCACAGAAGTTGAAAGAGGAGGAGTTGCTGAGGAAATGGCATATTTTCCCTTCTCATATACACTTTGACTGCTACAAATCATGTACATAAATACCATTCGGCCTCTGCATTGCTTCATTCTTCATATGACAACTATGTAACATCACCCTGCTAGCACTTCAACACATCGAAAAGAAACACTTTTATGTTGCTATCTCATAAGAATATGCTTAGGAATCCTCTCCTCTCCAAGGCATTCTAATGGACGAAAGGTTCTTTTTTATAGCAACTGGTTTGATTACTAATGGTTAATTCTAGTTGAACCATTCGACGTGACTGGGATCATTTTAAAATATCCCACTCGTTGTGCACACGGTGTCGTTTGTTAACCTCAATTTCTTGATAAGCAGACCACTGCTGTTGATAATAATGACATTTCAAAAGTTCTCAAACATTGATCTTTCACTCTGACATAAATTGTTCTTTGCCTTTAGCGTCCCTTAAATGTTTCAGTGTACATGAAAAATAAATTTTGAATAAAAGAAAAACACGAATGGACCCCGAGGAGCATTTGTGCCACCGTTTTCACATCTTGTGGTGATGTAAGTAACAATGCTATGTTGCCGTTTTGTTAAAAGCTTCAGCAGAGACTGTGTAGGACTGATACATTGCCCTTGAACTAATGTTCCATTGATGCATCGATGCCCCTTCACTTCAAAGAATCTTTGGTATGAACATGCGACCTGTCTGATGGAAGACTTCAATGTTTTCGTGAAGCCCAGTGGGATGCTGTTAAATGAAGGGTGAAAATAAGGACAAAGAGTAACAAGACAGTAAAAAAAAAAATTGGCCCCGTATCTACATGTTGCACTGCAAATGTCGTCGAAAGACGACAGTCTCGCGTCTGGAGGGAGTGAACAAAACGTTTATTTGATGTTCTGCGCGAGAAAATCGGTGATTAGTATCCTGTATTCTAGAGGCGCTGCATTTGAGTGCCTCGATGCGTACAGCGGAGGCGAATGAGCGCATCGGGGCACGTGAGACACGAGCACTATCTGGCCTCTGATACAGTAAGCGTGCATGCCTGTTTCAAGGTGTAGAACGCAAAGCGGCGGGTAGGTGCCACCGCGATGTCATCTTAGAAAAGCGTGTAAAACACTTGCCTTTTTGTGCGTAGCATTGCATTGCCAGCACAACGTGATGAACGCTACGATCCTTATAATTACTTATGTATGCCTTCTCTAGTATAAGGGGACACACCACTGAATATTAGTTTGTTGTTGTTCCTCAGATATGTGCAATAATTGCTTTTTAATTGACAATCGCACAAGCATGAATGCTGAGACTTGAGCAATATTGGAGGGCGCTGTGGATGGGGTTGGATTTTGGCCGTTTTGGGTATAGTTTCGACGGACAAGCAGAAAATGGACAGACAGACCAAAATTTTTGCGTCGAAGCTCCCCAAGAAAGACTATTATCTTTAAAAAAAGAGCACGAGTGCTCGTCATGTCTTATTTGTCTGTGCATGGCTTCACCTGAGACCCTTATTTAGGAGTCTTGAACCACGGTGTCTACCAAGTTAATGTTTCTCGATTCCCTGAGTTTTATAGATTTTTACCGAGTGCTTTTGGTAAAATGCCCCAATTGAAACCAAACTGTTTCAAGTGAAGACAGGCATATGTCAACTGATGACGCAACTCTTTACCTTGCATGTAAAAAGCTACTTAATACCATTTGAATACAAAAGACTACAATTAAACGTTGATATATCAAAGCCAATAAAAACTGAAAATTTATTAGTTATATCAAAACCTCGTTAAAATGAAATAGGATGTTTCATGCAAAGTGTAATCACTGAACGATTCATTTTTTTTCCACTGAAAATACCACAAGAATGCTGGACTGATTCGACAGACTAAAAAAGGTTTTTTTTTTTTTTTTTCGTGACAGAATGCCAGTTTTGTTGAATCTGAGGTCTATTGACCCCTATTTCATGCAGCGCCAGTGCGTCATGCATGAGGATAAAATATAATTACGCATTCAACACATTGTACACTTCGCTTACTCTGCTGCTTGTCAGAGCTTGTCATCAAAGCTCAGGTGCGGTGCATGGCAGTGCAATGCAAATATCACCCAGCCAAAACATTTGCTCTTTACTCAGCCTGGCAAACGAACACACATAAAAAAACCATCGCATGTGACAAAAAAAAACCAAGTTTCATAGCAAGGGTGGAGCAACAAATGCGATAGCAACAAATTCCAATTTTATACGAGCGGCGTCGTCTTTTTTGTTGCCGATCTAGATGGCTAGCAAGATACGAGCCTGTACAACGACATCCACTTCGTGAACGATCGGGATCACTTGCAAGACCACAGAGTGCTCATCACAACTATTTAAGACGCCTCTGCAACTACTAGTGCCCGTCACTGAGACGCACTGATAACAAAAACACCACATTGGGCGCAAACGCATATTACAAGCGACAAGAAATGCAGAACTACACAGTGTAGTCACAAACTTCTAGCAGTGCACGATACGATGGTTTATAGTTCTTGCATACCACGCAATAGCTGAATGTTTTTCCACTCAGTGCTTTGAAGGCAAGGAGAGCAACAAGGTGTACCATTTTTTTACAGCCGCCGTGCCATCTGAAAAATTAATTCATGGAATTAGCGCTACCCTACTTTTGTCACCTTTCAATAAAATTCCAGCAGACGTTCCCTGGCAGGAGCACAATTTCCTTGACTTTCCCTGAGTATTTCTAAACTCTCAAACATTGGTAATCTTTCCCGGTTGGTAGACACCCTAGTTTCACAAACTAGTCTAACAAGAACAACACACATTGATTTATGCATGACATGATTTATTACTACAAAAAAAAAAGCTAGTAATCAGGGTTCTGCTTTTATGTGTGATCCTCTCAGGCAAGTTCAACCTAAAGCCAGAGGCCGCTTGTATGTATTAATTACTTGGATTTCTACCAACCCAGTATAGGATCTGTGGAATACAAACAACCAAAGCAATTACAAGGACTACTACAATGACAATTCACAATAAGAATCCTGTAGGACTATCACTGAAATGAATTAAAAATGATGCATAAAAGACTGAACACTGTAGTTGCTTAATATCTTACCATAAGTTCGCAGCAACTCGGCAATATGGTACTGGTTAAACATGTACGCCAGGTGAAGGGGTGTGTAGCCCTGGAGATGGCAGAAAAAAATGCAGATGAAAAAATGCATATGGCAGTCAGACCCTTTGTCAGCTGTGGCAACAATAGAATATATTTACACTTAAACTTTTCTCGAGTCTTACTGTGCTTTGCACAATGGCTCAATAGCTCAAATGTTCTGATGCCAAGTGCATTTTATGAGTTTTATTTGTGGCATCAGCAGCCACCTTCCAGCAGCGTATGAAGCAAGAACACTCTTGCGCAGAGTTTCTGAAAAACATTAGGTGGTCAAATTAATACAGAAACCTCCACTACAGCATCTCTTATTGAAACCCGCAATAACGAAGCCCCGCGAGTACAAAATCCCGTGGCAACCAAATATTTTCAGATCCCCGGTGAACGTTCATAGAAGCCCATGTATTACGTATCTCGCGGCAACGAGATGTTTTTGGACAGCAATCCCGCATTAACGAATTTTCTACCACGGTGCGGGCCTTATTTTACCCTCCCGCCAAAGGTTAACTGTCGAAAATATGCTTGTGTGCGTGTTATGCGCACTCAAAATTTGTAAACATCTGCTTTTGCTGCGCTAGCGTGGGTACCGCCATTTTTGTTTACTTAAGGGGGGATGCGGCTTTGGGATCGCGAAAAATGTCAAAAAAAAATATATTTTTTGAAAATCAAGTTTTCAGTTTCTGGAACCCTTTTTCTATCTGATTCTAAAATATCTACACTGAAAATCGCGCAGAAGCGCTTCGGAAAATTCATTTCACCCACCTAGGTAGCGAAACCTTTTCTGGAAATCGCGAGAAAACAGCGATTTTCAAAAAATTATGGCTTCACGATGGTGGGGCCGGGAGCTGACTTCTTGAACTCATTGGAAAGAGCGTTTCTCCGTGTTTAACTTTGCCGCCTCAGCTGGCTTCTCTCTTTAAAAACAAGCGCACAAAAAGCAAAAGTTTGAAAGTCGTTTCGAGGTCCTTGATTGGCTGTGGCCGCCAGGTTGCCTCTGCTCGCCTCGCCATTGGCCCGATGCTCGCTCTGGGAGATCGTCGTCTACTGCTTGTGCGTCGCGAGGACATGGCTCTCGAAAATTGCTACTTCGTGACATGTTCACGGCTCGATGATCACTTAAGATATAATTACGCTTTAGTTAGGAGCAGTAGGCAGATGCGCGATCAGGTTACTATGAGCGCAACCCGTCATCGGAGCCTGCTTTAGCTCCAACTCTGCTGACAGCGAGACTGCGGGCAGGAACGACGCGCTAGCGCATCCAAAACAACCCGCGGGTTGTTTTGGATGCGCTGAACACTCTTTGCTCCTTTTTCGGCGCACATGACGACGACATAGCAATGGACCACTTTTTCTAGTGCAAAGGGAGAGCTTTGAACTTGTTGCATGGCAAGGGTCAGAAAAATAAATTGACCGACTTCTGGCAATAAAGTTTCGTTCTGCTGGCCATATTACTGTTTTTATGTCTCATACTCGCGGCAACGAAATTCTCACGAAAACGATTTTTTTTTTCCCCCCGCGATTTCGTTATTGCGGGTTTCAACTGTAGTCTCCTCAAGTTACTTTGGTGTGTTGAACACCATCAGTCGGCGGTTATTGTGGTACTCGCATGTACTCACTAGGTTCCTGATGCAGAAAAAGTTCAGACATGAAGAGAACAATTTGCCATAGGCTTGTGTTGTAGCTAGCAAAGATAAAAATTATGAATAATGAAGTTCAAAAACTTATTTCTAACCAGGCATCTACTAATTGTGAGCAATGATTTCCTGACACTGGAGAATCTGCCAAACCCTTTTGAGCAAGAAATGTTATCCCGAATATGGCATGAAGTGGGCAGTCTTTAGTTCTGGCATCATACACTGCATACACATCCAATGCGAAATGCCCAAAAAATAAGGGGAAGAACCGACCCCTTCACTCCACTTTCCCATTTTGACGTCATAGCTCATAACCTTGACATCATAACCTTTGACATCGTTAATGAAGTAAAACATTCTTTCAGTCTCAGCATTAGATAGAGATGGCTAAAGATGATACCAGCTGGTCCAAAGTACAAATATTCCCTTAATTCCAGAACTGGGGTCACCTATATTTTGGTTTCTTTGACTCCAGTCCAAGTGACACAGTCTATTTCCCAAAGGGAAAAAAGAATGTTACCATAAGAAAGTGCAAATTAGCTCTCTCCGTCTTTCTTTTTTTTTTCAGATCCACGTAAATATTCTGCGTTCGCAACACGACCAAAATGTGTAGGCCCATACCATCATGATTGGACATTTCTATGGTGCTAATATAGATCGAATTCTGCAGAACGTTTTGCCCCTAATATCATTCAAGTTACTAATTAGATTAAGCATTTAAGATTAAGATCAAGATAAGCAGATTAAGATTAAGCAATTCGGATTAAAATTAAGATACTGCTTTAAGCATTTTGCACATGCAATTTCAGTAGGTGCAGCTGTCTCCATTTCGTGTACAAGTGAAACTCAATTTAACGAAGTGACAGCCACACTTGAGTTTCTTATATCGGGAAGTCTATAAAATTAGAGATTTTTCGGTCCTTCAAAACTCAAAATTATTATGTAACGACACCCACAGTTTTTTACCACTAACACACGCCTTTTATTGTGAAAAGTCTGCAAGGCACCCTGGCATGGAGCCTTTCATGTTTGGATGATAGAGGCAAAGTAGACTGTCATGCGACTCTATGACACTCTGCCGATATGCAAAGACAGGCAGAATAAATGGAGTGATTCTGTGGAAGGCCGAGCAAGAAAGTTGCAAGGAGATTATCAGTGCCATCTGTCTCATAAGCCATTAGAGAACGAATGCAACCACTGTGTTCCTGTGCGAGCACTTGCAATAAAACCTCGCTCCCTGCCTCCCCTTAAGCCATTTGGCATGTAAAAGCACCGAGTTATAGTATGCCCCTTGAGTTGCGCATGGGAACAGCGTGTAGCCTCATCAAAGTAAATGTAGGATCACGACTGCTGCGGCTAAATGTTTTAACGCAATGGTACTACAGCGCACTCCCGAAGAAGGATGGGCTACGTCGAAATGAGAAAGAAATCTCTTTATTTCTACTTATTTCCAGAAACCTTGTTAAATCGGGTTTAGTGCCATGACAGCTTTGTTATTTTGAGTAGACAACACTGAATCCTACACATATCTACTAGGAACTTGAAATTTATTTGTTTTATTGGGAAATTTGTACAAGTGGGTTTCAATCGATCGCATTTTAACTTAATTTTGAAATAAACTCAAACCTTTATACTCTGAGGCATTTAAATATATACCTGGTTAAGAGAGCAAGGCAATCTTGTCCAAAAACTGGCAAATAAACCTATAGCCTTTTCAGGCTATATTCTCAAATAAGTCACTTCATTTTTAACATTTCTGCGGCTTTTTGTCATTGGCTTAAATAGGACTTTTAGGCTGGTAAACTTATTATTGCTGGTATCCCAGTCTGAAGTGTGACTCATGATAAAAATAGAAAGAGAAGAGGAATGTCTAAAAACACAGGCCCTGAAACCATGCAAATCTTATTGCATTTGTAAAAAAAAAAGAACTTCACTTGTTCACTTGTATACTCAGCATTAAGCTAAGCATAAAAGAGCATACACAATAGTTTTATTTTTGTTGCTTTATCTCTTTCCCCCAAAAATATGAACCGCAAAAAGATGTGACCTGCAAGGAATTAAAAGGCCAGTAAACAGGCTCTGACATTTTTTTTTTACACCTCTCAAGCACGCTCTCGAATTCGTGCAGAAGGCCGCAACAATCAAATTTTACTTATTGTAGTAACATACCGTTACAGAAAAGCCGAATTTTGAGAAACAATACCTGATCCCTTTTCTTGTGTGCGACCATTCTTTTCGCCTACACAGTGATGTAATCTTGACCAAGGGCAACATTATCTCACACTTAATTCATTGATCGGTCTTTTGCACTATTAGAAGACACCTTGGTCCTGTGGTGGTGCAGTCTTGGCTTGCTAGTCCACATTTTCATTTTCTGTGCTGCTCTCTGCCATTTTGCTAAAGCCGAGGTTACCAGGATAAGCAGTATCATGAGAACAAATGCTTTTGAGATCAAGAGATGTCGCGCGACTTTGCTGCTACGGGAAGGGTGCATTCAGCAAGGCACATTTGTTTACATTGCCAGTGCTTCACACCCTTTGTACAGCATACTTCCTCACCGTGACACTCTGACATGAGCAACATGTAGGGATGACCTTACATGGTCGATGGCTACGTGCCAATGATGCAATAGTTGACGTTGGGTTACATTGCCAAAGTGAGCATAGTCTTAACGAAGAGCTTTGCCAACTCCTATTCACTGCTGAGGGGGCTGAGAAGGCCAAGCCAGAAACCAAATCCAGCCAAACCGATTTCTTCCATACCCTATCACTTCCTTATTCCTGTAGTTGTTCATTTCAGTTTAAGAAAGTGTTCATTACCCAGTTTAGTTACTTTTGTTTATTGATTCCCTTGTTTATTTATTTTTTATTTCCACTGTCATGCTGGTATCGGTCTCACCAAACTACAGCGACCCGTTACAAAGGGGAAGGCCACCACCACCATCATCATCAGCAGCAGCAGCAGCAGCAGCAGCACTTGTTAGAAAAATTCTTGCAGCAACATGTTCAGATCATAAAGTGTGCCGTTATCTCTCTATCACAAATTTCGGACCACTAGGATGTTTACTGGCCTTTTAAGTGCACAGTACAGTAACATTACTACAAAAAAAATAACAGTGTTGCTTACATAGAGCCATCGTGAGGAAGCAAAATTCTAGCCTGTATTTTGCTGTGTTCCTTTAGCATTTTATTTCTGAAGACACTAGACTGACATTTATTGGCACAACATACTTGCATCTAACACCATTCAACAGTACTTTTACAAGAACTTTGTAAGAAATATTCTGTACAAAAACCTTACGAAAATCAGCTAAAAACAAAAGTTAGCAGCTAAAAAGGCTTAAGGCCCCATTTAGGTAAGTGATACTTAAAACAACCAGGAG